CAAAGACTAGTAGTACCAGATGTCCCCACACCCCACATTGCCTTTAGACTGGTGACTTTTGTGGCTGCATAGGAGAGCATGTCCTATGGTTGACTGGGTATTATCTGTAGTTCCTTCTCGTTATTACTCGTTATTTAAATGTGGTCCTTCAACTCATGTTCTACCTAGCTGTCTTGTTCCTATTCCTCTGGCCTTACAGTCTGAAGTTTCCTGGTTATTAAATAGAAGGGCAATTGAGTTTGTTCCTGTTCAGGCAGTCTCTTCTGGATTTTACTTTAGGTATTTCTTTGTTAACAAGAAAGGTGGTGGAAAGAGGCCTATATTGGATCTCAGGGATTTGAACAAGTTCTTGAGTGTACCTAAATTCCTGACTACCTTACCTCAAGCTCTCTCACTTCTAGAGCTGCAAGTTTGGTTTGTTGTGGTAGACATATTTAGATGTTGCTATTTCTTAGAGCCACAGAAAATATCTGTGCTTCATCTTCACGTCTTCTGCAGAGAAATTTTCTACAAGCTTTGAGAATTTTACAGCTGAGTGCTCTCCCTCTCTCCGCACAGTAGAGCCATAGGCTCTGTTCCTGCCCAAATGATCATGTGATGAGGGACAGAGGGAGTAATCTTCCCTTGGTCCTTTTTCTGCCACTATGGAGAAAGCACATGCTATAGATTCCTCATGATCTTTACTGGCAAACTGTAGGTCTTTTTCTTAAGAGTTCCTCTATTAGAAGAACACAGATGGCACTATTTAAAAAATGCCACACTTGTGGTATGAAAATGGCACAAAATGATGAACATACCCAGTGCCTCATATGCCTGGGGGAAGGACACAACACATCCTCACGTAGAGCATGTAGCTTCTTCATCCCAAAAGTGTGCCAATGATTGCTTGATCTGAATCTGAGATGACATTGAAATCACTGAGTCCAGATCCGATGCAATGTCTTCCTTCAAACTCCCCCCAGAGTCAGTCGCAGTATCCCTTGAAATCACCATGATGTTGACGAGATGACATTGAAATCACTGAGTCCAGATCCGATGCAATGTCCCTTGAAATCACCATGATGTTGATCAGACCTGCCTCAACACCGGTCACCTTCATTGATCTGAAGTCGACTACCTGTGTTTCCACAACATGTGACATTTGCATTTGACCACTGATCCTGATCCCTTCGATCTTGAAGCCTTCACTCTTGATGTTGCTGTCACTCTTCCAAAGCCAGTGCAACTCAGTTTAGAAAACCCCACACTCCTTCGCCATCTACGACTTTGAGAGATTAGTACTCCTCCGAATAAGATGCTGAACTCATCTCTCCAGCTCAAAAAGCTCCTTCAAGAAAAGATCCATCAACCTTCAAAGCTACTGCCTCTCAAACACCTGACTGGGGCTCTCAACCACAATGGGGTCAGTTTCTCTCTTGGTTCATGCCTCCATGGTATCAATGGGATCTGTCCTCCAGAAGTCAATGTCAGCCACCTCACCAGCAACTACACTCTCCTAGAAGATCTCGTTCCTCAGACAGCCATCAAAACTCAAGAGTCTGCCCCTTCTTATGCAGACCCAGAGACACTGCCAGGCCAATATTCTAACAATGAATCAGAACTGGCTTCCATGCCATCAACTGATGATGCTGTGGGAGACCCCACACCTGTATCTCCAACAGAAGACCTCAGACTTTATTCTGAGCAACTAGTTATAATGGTTAAGGTGCTACGCATTGAGTATAGACTTCCTGAACCAAAAAGGATGATCCCATGATGAATGTGTTATACTCTACAGATCCAAGCCCAATAGCCATACCTATGATAAAAGGCATCCAAGAGATTACTGAGAATGTATGGGCTAAATCAGTCTCAGCTCAACCCTCCACCAAAAAGTTGGAAAATCTATATAGTATCAGAGAGAATGACTGTGAATTCCTCTTTCATCATCCCCCAGCTAACTCTCTATTCACTGAAGTTCTCCCATCCAGACAACAGGGAGGGATATGTTCAGCCCTCCTCTACAAGGAGGGTCATAAGTTAAATATAGGGATGTGCAATCGGTTCATTCGAACCGAATGCACCCCCAAAAATGGCCCATTCAGACCCCTTTCGGGCTGGTGCAGGCTGAATCAGATTTTCTGATCTGAATTGGCTTGCCGCCGAATTTTGGTGGGAATTCGGCCCATTATATCCTATGGGCCATTGAAGTCAATGGCAAAAACATAGGGTATATTCTGGGGGCTGGAGGGGAGGAGGTTTGAGGGAGAGGCTCCAAAATCACAGGGTAGCTGCTGGAGCCTCCCCCCAAGATACCCGCCCAGTTTGAAGAATATTGGACCAGGGGGTCCAATTCTACAGGCCCCCAAACAGGTTGCTCCTATCCCCTCCATTGTTCTCTATGGTGGGGGAAAAGTAAGATTCCAACAATCACTTCATATTAAAAAAGAAATTTTTGGGATTAATGCCTTCCACCACAGCGATGATTGACCATGCGAGACTCCGCATGTGTCCTTGTAAAACTGGTAGGGGACTCCCTCTTGCTTTACTCCAGTGCCTCCAACCTAGACAAATGGCCATAACAGTAGGATCCTCCATCTCCTCATCAGATGAGATGGCCAGCTCCATCTGCTTGGAGGCTGCCTGGGCCATGGGCTCCCTGCTGTGTGGCCTCCCTTGCCCCTTCTTGGGTGCCTTTCCCACCATAGGCAGAATCCATGGATTCCACTGTTGCCCTGCACAGTAAAAGAGACATCCCTCCTGCAGCCAGTTTCTGGACACCTGGCCCCCACCTAGGTGGGTGCCTTTCCCACCATAGGCAGAATCCCTGGACTCCACTGTTGCCCCTGCACAGTAAAAGAGACATCCCTCCTTCAGCCTGTTTCTGGACACCTGGCCCCCACCTAGAAGACCCCAGTGCCAGTCTGTTATACAAATAGAATCCCAGTAAAAAAAATGAAGTCAAAATGAGGAGGAAGACCTTAGTGTTTAATTGCAATCAATCACCAGAAAACAGGCCAAACAGCACATCAAAAAAAAATTGACTGCTTTCTGAGCACAATCAGGAAATACATGAAGTTTTATACTTGGAGTGACCTAGTCAGGAAGATAATATTTAAAAAGCATAATGGGTTACAAAAGACAATGCATCATCTGAGTAATAGTTCCCTTATTGGTCAAATGTAAAGAAAGGTGTGTCTACACAACATCGTCAAGTGTTTCCTTAACTTAACCTGAATAATATTGGCCAAGGATTCTCTATAACCAAACAAAAGGTGTTTTTCTCTCTGATACGGAGCTAAATGTTAGCATCAACGGGAAAAATACCCTAACCTACAAAGGTAAAGGTCTACTCTTTAATAGGCCTTCATTACATCCTAATAAAATCTTACTGGGGAGAAAAATCTATAAAACCAGAAAAATATGAATAATCAAAAGAAAAAAGTTTTATATTCCCATTCATACTATAAGTCCGCCCCTGGCTACCCCCTGGCCTGGCTCCAGGCCTGATTAGGGGGCCACTGCCACTGCCGTGGCCTGCAGGAAGGTGGCCTGTGGCCCTGACCTCCCTCAGGTGTTTCCTGGATGCCTTGGGCCTACCACACCCTCACTGGGTCCCCAAGCCCCATATCATGGCCACCACCGCTGCTCTGGCCCACTCAAGGGCTGCCGCGGCATTGCTTACAGCCTCTGAATGCTGGGAGCACCTGACCCTTGCCTAAGGCTGCCAAGTGGGGGCGGGGGGCGGGTAAACCCCCGCTTTGGAGGCCCGATTTCCGCCACCACAGAATTGGGCCCCGGGGGGAACTCCGCCCCCCAAAGCGCAGCGTTGGGGGCATGGCCCCGATTGTCGGAGGGAAAACCTCTCCAATGATCGGGGCCACACCCCCAACGTGAGCGACGTAGCACGTCCCTTCCTGTGACATGCTGGCACCGCACATCCCTTCCTGTGACATGCTGGTGGCGCACGCGCATCGCCGGAGAGCTCTTGGAGCCTGGCGAGGCTCCCCCGCCGCCAAGGTAAGTAGACTTGGCAACCCTACCCTTGCCCAAAGGGTCGCAGCTGCTGCCACGGCCTCTCCAAGAATCAGCCATGTCCCCCCACCCTCCATCTGTTGCTGGGAGCCTCCTCACCCATCCCACTGCAGCCCTGAAACCAAGGTTGCTGGATTCCAGGCTCCTGAGCCATGGCCTAAGTTGTGCTTCCCATTTCAGGCATCCACCTTAGAGCTTGACCAGTACCAGCCAAGCATGAAGCGAAAGAGGAAGCTGAGGGGAGGAGCTGGCCTTTAAATGCCACTGCCTTTAAATGCCATGCTGACACTTGCGTCATTCATCACTGCCTCCTCCCTTCTGGGGGAGGCAAGGTGGTCCCCGCCCACAGGAACCTGTTGGTTCCGCAGGCAGAGGAGCTGTGTATTGTGCAGAAATTTTGGCAACTCTACACAATCAAGGCACTTGTTGAAAAGGGTCATGGGGGGAAAAGCTTGTGATTCCCAAAGAACCTTTTTAGAGAGACACTGTAGTCTTAGACAAGGTTGCAGAGAGTCACCATGGGCTCTGCTATAAAGATTCCTTCTGGGCCCCAATAGAATTGGAATCCAAACCATGTGTCTGATTTGTACACACATACATATGTGTACCGATATAGAACACACCTCTTATATCTGATAATCTTACATCTAGTTCACAAAAACTTGGTATCACAATAAATCTTTAGTAAGAAAATCAATAAGAATTCTATTGAAGTTTACCCTTGTATTTTTACCTAGCACAAAAGCAGGGACAAATTAATTATGCTGTGTAGTGGGATTGATTTTGCTGATATATTTTCTAAAAAGACAATGTCATTTGGCACATAATATTAAGCTTAATGTCTACAGTAGTAAAGTAGCATTTACAAGGGATAGTAGATGCATGACTTCTTGGACAGTGTTTTAAATGTAATTAAATCTAATTAAGGGGAGGGGAATTTAACCTCTGTTCCACATGTGTTAGCCAGTGATTAACATTCCATTACCATGCAGGTAAGGAGGGGGACATTTTTTTACTACTTTGCTACATCATGGGAGCCAGCATGTCGTATTGGTTAAGAGTGGCAGACTCTAATTTGGAGAACAAGATTTGATTTCCCCCTCCACATGCAGCCTGCTGGCTGATCTTGGGCCAATCAGAATTCCCTTGGAAATCTCTCAGCCCCCACCTACCTTACAAGGTGACTGTTGTGGGGAGAGGAAGGGAAAGTGATTGTAAGCCACTTTGAGATTTTTTAGGGTAGAAAAAAGTGGGGTATAAAAACCAATTTTTCTTCTTCAAGGGTTTGCTGCTGTACTATTATTAAGTATGCTCTAAGCTGTCAACCAGGGATGAGAAGTTAAGTCAAAGACTGACAAATGAAAGGAGGGTTTAGAAGGCAGGAGAGAGAAATGAAGAGAGGGAGAGAAATGAAGGCATATTGTGAAGAAGGAGAAAAGTGTGGAAAAGAGGAAGATAAATTAAGAAAAAAAGAAAGGTTGCTTTATTTTCTACAACACCCTAGTGGAAGATCTGGCTGAGCAGTCAAAACTATTGAACTGGGTGGAAGGAAAGGAAGAGAGAAACAGACAGCTTGAAACAACAGCCTTGTTAGGAGGCTGCAGTATGGCAATGATTGCAGCAGTCATGAACTAGGCCATCCCGACATGATTGTGCTGTATCTATATATCTAATAGCCAAGGTGCCCCCTGCGTGTGGATATCTAAATCTGCACATCGGGGGCACCTGGGGGGCAGGGAGATTTTCCTGCACACTTGGAGTAGTCTCCAGGTGAGCAGAAAAATCTAAAAAGTTGAAAAAAGTATACAGGGGATATTTAAATTCCCCCCAAACGAAAAGAGTGTTCCCTCCGCATGCACAGGGAACACTCTGGGAACTCGAGGGCAGCCGGTGGCTGGAAGCCACTCAGTCCTCACCACGGGGGGGGGGGAGGGGATCGGGGGTCCCAGGGAGGGGGGAGGGGATCGACGGGCCTGGAGGCTGGAAGCCGCTCAGGCCTCGCCACCAGAGGCGGGGGGGGACTTACCTGTGGCCAGTTCCTCCTCAGCCCTGATACCTACCCACGAGTATCACGGGTCCCTCTTGTTTGAGTCTAATTCTGGCTTCTCCTAGGATGGGCACACAATCAAGTGTTGTGGGGTGCCCCCTGATATGAGCCACTTCAGAAGTTACAGGCTATCAGAATGCTGCTTCATAAACTCTATGCAGGCCATTCCCAAGTTGAATAACGATAGCATTTGATTTTAAAATATTTATGGATACTATTTTGAAAGTCAGATTCCTCGTTACAGGAACAGTTTCATTTGCTTTTGCTTTGAGCAGCACTACATGTAATAAAATCCCTCGAAGTATAACTTTCTAGTTAATGTTGTAAGGGAAGAATTGAAAACATTAGTGTATATTGAAATCAATGTGTGAAAATGGCTTTTTATCTTTGTCGGATGTAAAGAGAATCATACATATTTGTGAAAAGATTCAAACTGAGTTTTAGAGATAATATTCTAGTTCTTGTAAATCTTTCAGGTTGAAACATAAAATGAAGCAGAGCAAACGTTTAATGTATTTTATAAATTTGGCATATGCTTGGGCTTGGAGGAATATATGGATGGGATATTTAAACTGAAGAAAAAAGCAGAGCTAGGTATGATATGTGTCAAATGCACCTCATATTTAGACAAATGTCTGTTCTTGTTTAAGATAATTTATTTTCATAGTGCTGTCATATAATACCCTCTGTCAAATCTTACCCTCTATAAAAACTAAAGTATATTTATTTATTTTAGTTACATGTCATCTGTCTTAATGCACTAGATGATTTCCAACATTAAAATGGTAGAAGGAACAGTTAATATTCACAATACATTCAAATATAAGACAACTACATTAAACCTAGTCAAACTCTAAAACCAGTACCAGCAGTAATTATTTGGTGTAGGCAACAAATGAGCAAAAAAGCAGATATTACATGCAAGTGCTAATAAAAGGAGGGAGAGAGAGAGAACATACAGCCAGCAATAATTAAAAATCCAAAAATGTTTGGGTAAACAAGTAGGGAGGGCAATGAACCACGAACCAAACCATGGACTTTCACAGATTAAAAAGGCCTCATACGTACCCAGCCAGACGCTCGCCTCTGTGTCAGAGTGTGGCTAGATGTGATGAGCCATGGACAGCGTAGCTCCTCCCCTCCTGGCTGAGCCAGGCCTCCCTTGCTGCCTTCACCTCCTGAGGCATCCCTGTTGCGTGTCGTAGCTGCACACCCCAGCTGGCAATGTCAATTGCAGAGCCCTCCTGTCTGCCTGCCCTGCGCACCACTGGGGAAAGTTGCTGGCAAGCCACATGAACCTCAAGGAGGGGCCTCCACTCGCTTTGCCGGTCAAGGTATGGCAGGCAGGAGAGATAGGGAGGAAGGCAGACAAGCATCACCTGTATCCCTTCCCACCCCAGCCTGGAAGGAGGGGAGGGAGAGGAGATGAATGGCTCATCATGAGCCTTGCATTGTTCCCATCCTAGGTGACTTCTCCCAGGCCATAGGTTTTGGGGGACTGCTTCTCAACATCACCTGCAGAGCTGTTGGGAGGGCAAAATCGGAAAGGGAAGCTGATGGTGAGAGGAAAAATATTAATTAACTAATTAATTTAGTTAAATTAGTCACTATGCCCCCTCTGTGCCCCACAAAACCTGTCTAGCTACAGGGTTCCCCCCGGTGTGCTAGAGACACCAAACTCACAGAGTTTCTCCAGCTGACTCTCCTCTACCTGCCCTCCAGGTTTGGTGAGGATTGGATTTATGGGGTCCAAGTTATGGCCCCTCAAAGAAGGTCCCCCCATCCCCATTGTTTCCAGTGGAGGGGGGCCCCTGAAAGCAAGGGCAATAGAAGCCCTATGGAACAGAATTAATCTCTGTAGTAGAAACTGAAGGTGAGGGGCATTTTTACCAGCCCAGCAGAACCAGTGCAGTGTGCCCCGAGACCCAACCAACGTGCAACAACATATGTAGATATGGTAGCTTGAAGTGCTACTGAGACCACCTGAGACCCAAACCTGAAAGTATGCAACAATGCATGTAGACACAGTAGCTCGAAGTCCACCTGACATGTATGTAGACATGGTGGCTGGAAGCGCTGAGTCCACCTTAGACATAAACCCAACTCATTGTGCAATGACGCATGTACACATGGTGGCTTGAAGCCCTGAGACATATAGATGTGGTGGCTTGAAGCCCTAAGTCCAACCCTGACACCAAACCCCCACATCATGCAACAACATATGTAGACATGGTGGCTTGAAGCCCTGAGACATATATAGACATGGTGGCTTGAAGCACCGAGTCCAGCCCTGTCATCCAAACCTGAAAGCATGCAGGGCCGTATGTAGACATGGTACCTGGAAGCCCTGAGATGTATGTAGATGTCCTGGCTCAAAGCCCTGAGTTGTATGTAGACATGGTGGCTCTAAGTCCTGAGTCCAACCCTGACAGCTGAACACCAAAAGGTGCAACAATGTATGTAGATGTGAGGGCTTGAAGCCATGAGCCCCATCCTGATGTTCAAACCCCAGGTGGCACAACAATGTATGTAGATGTGGTGGCTTGAAGCCATGAGTCCCATCCTGATGCTCAAACCCCAGATGGCAGAACAATGTATGTAGACGTGGTGGCTCAAAGCCCTGGGTCCACTGGAAGCCCCAAACCCAAAGCGTGCCCACATTGCTCACAGCCTCCCCCCCAAACTGAAACACACAGCCAGTATTTGAACGACAGATGGGAAGGCAGACATCCCCAGAGTTTCAAAGAGGGCTCCCCAAAGTACACAAATGGAAGCTGGGAGGATATAATAAATGTGGGTACTCAGCCGAGGAACCCACTAGTTAAGACTTACACACATAGGCACTGCAGAGCACACCCATCCATAAATGGAAACATGCGAACCTGGCAGGACTGCCCTTCAAATCTAAAATGACAGAAGGACAGAAAGGCAGACCAGGCATCCCCTGAGTTTTGGCAGGGGTTCCCCAAAATAACCCCATGGCTGCTTGGCAGACTCCCCACCCAGACACCACAAGGAAGGGAAATGTGCCCACAATGCTCCCACACTCCCCCCAGGGGTGAAACACACAGGTCCAGAGCACACCACACCATCACCCTGGGTGTATTCTTCTACTCTACAAAGAAATGTAACCCCTGCTCCAAGTCTCCAAAGGCAGGTTCTGAAGAACGGTCAGGATGCAGAAATGTTTCCAAATGGTGGCTTGGAAATGAGGCCCCATGACTAGAGCAGGTGGGAGGCACAGCTGCTTTCACGGCCCTGAGTCCACCAGAGACTCAAACCCAAACCAGCGTGAAATGACGTATGTAGGCATGGTGGCTTGAAGTCCTGAGATGTATGTAGACATAGTAGCTCGAAGCCCTGAGATGTATGTAAACATGGTGGCTCAAAGCCTTGAGTCCAACCCTGACAACCAATCCACAAAGTATGCAACAACGTATGTAGACGTGGCTTGAAGCCCTACACCCAACCAAACCCCAAAGCGTGCCCATAAAGCTCCCAGCCCCCCTCCCCCTGGGCTGAAACACACAGCCAATTTTCAAAGGACAGATGGAAAGGCAGATGAAGGGGGCTCCCCAAAGTACCTTATGGCATCTGGGAGGGTATAATAAATGTGGCCACTCAGCTGAGGGAACCCACCAGCTAAGGCTTAAACACACAGGTGCAGAGCACACCCACCAACAGGGGTGTATTATTCTACTCTGCAACTGAGTCTGGAGCGCACCCATCCATCACAGTGAATTCTTCTACTCCGAGGATAAATGGAAACATGTGAAGCTGACAGGGCCACCCCTCAAGTCTAAAAAGACAGGCTATGAAGGACAGATGAAAAGACAGACCAGGCATCGTCAGATTCAATGAGGGCTACCCAATATAACCCCACAGCTGCTTGGCAGATACCCCAGCCAGACACCACAAGGAAGGGAAGCATGCCCTCAGGTCGAAACACAAGGATCCCCTGGTCACAGACCACCCCTAGATGAAATTTCTGGTTCTTCATCATTAGTGGAACACATTGTACAGATAAGAGATCACCTGTTGTGATTGTGAATTGTATAAATGTAATGGAAACAAACAGGGGCTTGCTTGGAGGATGGCCATGGAGGGGCATCCCACTCCCCCTTGCTGAGAGGGAGTGGACCTCTTCCCCTTTCCACTGACCACTGCTCCTTCTTCCGACAGCAACAAAGGAAGACACGTGTTGGGTGTTTGGGCCCCTGCGGACATGAGCGTGGCACACCTGACACTCTGCCACAGGGATCACTGGGGAGGGTGTGAAATTGTTTCCACAGGGTGGCCTGGAAACAAGGCTCCACAATTGGAGTGGGTGGGACTAGGCACAGCTGCTTTCTGGTGCGGAGCTGGGAGGCAACAGAGGAGGTATATTTAGTGCAGCAGAAGCAGCAGGGAGTTAGGACCTGGAAGGAGAAGATGCTTCCCCCCCCCAAATCTCTGAACCACTGTTGTAAGAGGAGTCCTTTCCAAAGAGTTTTAGCAATTGCTAATGTCTGGATGTTGGTAAAATCTCTGTTTCCTCTTGGAAATGCCCCAAGGACAGAGCAGGGAAGAAGGCTCTGAGACCCCAGTGATTCTCTGCTGGAGTGGGACTCTGGGGGGGGGGGCAGACTGGGTTTGGTGCTCAGGGACTAGGGGCTTCTGGTGTCCTGGGGGGAGAGGGCTTCTTCCTCCCACGACAAGCACCTTTTCCACCCACTTTCATCTTCATGGTGTTCACTAAGTCCCTATGGTCAGAGTGAGTGCAGATATAGGATCAGATCCCTGTGTCTGAGCACTCCACACCAGGCCCGTAGCTATGGTGGGGCATTTGGGGGCTGCCCCCCCCAACCTACCTCAAAGGCCCCTTCAAATGCCCCCAATTCCATCCCCGAACAAGAGGCTCCCCGCCCCCACAACTCAGGCTAATTTAATTAGTCCTCCCCCTCTGTCATGGCGCAGGGTTGCAGGAGGCAACCTTTGGCTTTGCAAGGCTGGCTGGGCCGGCAGTGGGGTGGCAAGGAGGGAAGGGAAGGCGGGAGCATCGAAGGAACATACCAGGAGTGCTTAGCGGAGCCGGCCCAGGGCTCCTCTGGGCATAGCATGCTCCACTCACTCATGCCCGCATCCCCTTTGGGGAACCTATCATGGTGCAGGTGGGCCCCCGGAATCCGCAGTGGCCGCTGCCGGGGGCTGTGACTCAGCTGCCAGGGAGGCAGGCGGGGGAGGCATAAAAGTAGCATCTTCCTGGCCAGGCAGCATGACTCTGTCCTGGTTTCTTTCTCACTGAGGGATGCTCCTGTGCTGAAGCCACCTTCCCCCCTTCAGGTGGGAAATAAAACTGAGTGCTCCCCTTTTCACCTCACTGACCTCCCCTGCCCCGCCAGTTCCCCCCTTCCTGTGCAGAGCTCCATCGGGGAAGGTTTTCCAACCAGGAGGCACAGGAGGCAATTGGGCCTCTGAACTCCGGCTGCTCTCCTTCCTTCTGACCTTCTACTGCACAGCTGGCGCCAGCTGCGACCAGCGGGCCGACCTTCCCAGCACAGCATTCCAGCAGTTTCCAAGTGCCCGCCTGCTCTGCGAGAGGCTCCCAAAGGCAACGAGGGCATGAACGAGTGGAGCACGCTATCCCCGGAGGAGACCCAGGCTGGCTCTGCTTAGCACTCCTGGTATGTTCCCTTGATGCTCCCGCCTTCCCTTCTTGCCATCCCACTGCCGGCCCAGTTGGCCTTGCAAAGCCAGAGGTTGCCTCCTGCAACCCAGTGCCACTGGTGATGACAGAGACAGGTGGGGAGGCGGCCTGGCTGGCAGCGCCCCCACGGAGGAGGATTAATTAAATTAACCAGTGCCCCCTTGAGAAATTAAATGCCCCCCAACTTAAAAATTCCTGGCTATGAGCCTGCTCCACACCCACACTCCAGCAGCAGAGAGAAGAGCAATTCAGTAGCAAGAGAAGTGTGTGTGGGAGTATAAAGGCACCCCATGGCTCAGCCCCTTTGCTCAGTGTCAGCGCAGAGTGAAGATCAGATCCCGAAGTCCAGAACATTTCACACCCAAACCCCAGCAGCAGACAGCAGAGCAGATCACTAGTAGGAAAGGTGAGGGGGGGGATATAAAATCATTCAATAGCTAAGCTGCTGTTTGCAGTGTGAGTGCAGAGAGAAGAGAAGATCCCCTGAACACTCCACAACCTAAACCCAGTGGCAGAGATCAGAGCAGATCACCAGCAGGAGAAGTGGGGGTGGATATAAATGTAGGTCCTCTGGGAAGGCACCAATAGCTAAGCCCCTGTGCTCAGTTTGGTGTAGTGGTTAAGTGCGCGGACTCTAATCTGGGAGAACCGGGTTCGATTCTCCACTCCTCCACTTGCACCTGCTGATGTGACCTTGGGTCAGTTGCAAGCTCTGGCACAGCTGTCCTTGAAAAAGAGCAGTTTGTGTCAGAGTTCTCTCAGCCCCACCCACCTCACAGGGTGTCTGTTGTGGGGAGGGGAAGGGAAAGGAGATTGTAAGCCGTTCTGAGACGCCAAGTGAAGAGCGGGGTATAAATCCAATCTCTTCTTCTTCTTCTCAGCATGAGCACAGAGACTGTGTGGCTCAGAGGGAGCCATGACTCCACTCCACACCCCACCAGCAGAGAGAAGACCACAAGCAGGAGGAGTGGGGTGTATATAAACGTAGGCCATCTGGGGAGGCACCCAATAGCTAAGCCCCAGTGCTCAGTGTGAGCCCAGACACTTGGTGGCTCAGAGCCTTGAGTGCACTCTACACCCTAATCCCAAACCCCAACAGCGGATCATAAACAAACAGAAAGCAAAGCAATTCATCAGCTCTGCTAGCTCTGTGTCCCTCTCTCGCTTCACCAGCCAATAAAAGAAAGGGGTGGGAGCAGAGCTCACTTAATATATAGTCTTCTGAGCCCATATTGCATAATAGGGAACTCTTTTATTGGCAGCCAGCAATGCCTGTGAAGCTTTAGAGGGCTCCTATTGGTGTTTCCAAGGCTGGAGAATTCTGCCCCCACTGTTGCCTTGAGGTTTTGTAAACAGTTTAATTGACTGGCAACAGTTTGTCTGCAAAATATAGCCATTTATGAACTGCTCCAAAACTTTGTGAAACATCACTTCCTGAACCACAAACCAGCTAAAATGTGTGATGAACTTTAGTTTGCAAGCTAGTTTGTGCCCATCCCTACAAACAATCCTGGTGCCAAATTCCTACAAACATCCTGGTGCCAAAAATTCATCAGGCTTGGTGCTAGGTGGATGTTGTTTTATAAGCTCTGTGTACATATGGGTGTGCATATGTTGTTATATATCAAATTGTAAGAGTTTAATGTGATAAATGCTGGTAGAAATGGGTATAAATTACCTTACCAAAATTACTTTACTGAAATCTAGTTACTTTAGATTTTGGCTCTTAATCCTGAGAGGCCTTGAACATTATGGGATGGTGACAGTAGATGCAGAAATAACTATTGTACTTTTTTTTTTAATTTCTGGTGTGAAGGTAGTTCTTCATCTACCCCACCAAGAGGAGGCTCACTAGAGGAGAGAATCTACTTCTGACATTACATAGAAAGCACAAGCAGCAGATACATGAATCACACATACGCCCACTCACACAGTGTGCTTGGGCCCAGATTGACACATTATTTTGTAAACTTGCATTATATTATATGGCAAAAACGACACTTTCTATTTTCTTTTCCAGGATGACTTTCTGTATAGTGTTTCCATTTTAAGTGGTATCCTTTGCACTACCTTGGCAGTTATCAAATTTATGTTGGGGAGTGTGCTTACCAGCAGAGCATTGTTAACGGATGGTAAGTGGCAAATATTATTTTCCTCTTTAACAGAAAGCGTTATTCGTGTTACAGATGGTGAAATGAGGTATGGAAAGAAGACTACAATTTATGTAACAGATCTGTAGAATTTTAACTACTAAAATGATGTCAGCACCACTTACCTGAATTTAAAGAGGAAGTTTTGTTTGCAAGTACTTCTGGCAACTGCCAGCCTAAGGAACAATAAATGAATGTAGACGAAGCTAAAATCTTTGCCCAGTGACAGATTTAGGAGGTTTGTTACTCATTGGTGCTATTTATTGTTATAAAAATATTTTATAAGGTAAATATGAAGTTCATAGGAGAGATTTTTGTTTGGATTATTTTGTATTAGCCATTATTGTACAAAATATTTGCATTTAAAATAGTAAAAACAAACTAACAAATACCAGGATTCACATGAATTCATTTCTGTTTTCTATCTCATATTTTAACGGCCTCCATATTTCTGCTATAGCTATATTTCTATATGCTTTTGTTAACAAAACCAATGCATATAGTACTTTAAAAATTACAAGGGGTTTGATCTGAATAAAAAAAATAGCTGTGACTTTATGATGCCTGGAGGTCCATCTCTAAGTAATTTTTATTTACAGAATGGTAGTGACATCTTGTGGCCATAGTTCGATAAATGACATTGTTGGAAAGTATTTTTTAAAATGAATGCCAGTCACCTTTAGAGCTGAGCTAAAACCTCTTGCCTCTAAAATATATTTTCCCATTCCTTTTCACATATGTTTGGGAGTTGGTTATCAGTATCTTTTTCTCTGGAGAGTGTGTGTGCTGCATAGAGAAAGCACCTGTGCAGAAAGGCTGTCTGGATCTACCTCATAGACGTTTTTGGCTCAATATGTCTCATAGGGACATGTCACATAATAATAATGAATTATTAATGTGATTGGTGAATTTGGCCACCCATGTTAAAACATCTAGAGCACTTTTGTTAATAATAATGTTTGTATTGTGATTTTAAATGGTTTTAAATATGTTTGTATTGGCTTTGCCTCCTGTAAACCGCCCTGAGCTCGCGTAGCGGGGAGGGCGGGGTATAAATGGAAACAAACAAACAAATAAATAAAGGCCGCTGAAAATACTTCATGTGTCTGTTGAGGTTCTACGTGGGCCATGTAGATCAACCACTGTTGTAGGTCCTGATTTCAATAGAAGATGGCGCATATTCATGGCATAACAGGCTAGTAAAACTGGTTACCACAGGCCATCTCTGTATGAAATATAGTTGCCAACTTGCCTGGAGGAAAAATGTCCTGTCCCTTTAATACAAAGTTAATGCAAATGTTTCCCAAGTGATGTTATTTACCTCCATGTTATAAAAAGCTTAAACTGCTAATTTCCACACATTAAGCCTCTGGGAAAAGGACAGGACATTTTTTCTCCAGGGTTGTAGGCAACCCTAGTGTGAAAGTGTTTCCACTAGCCTCTGAATAGGGGTGGACCTAGAGCTGAGCCAATGAATTTCCATGCCCTGCGTGGGCCAGCTTGAACCCCCCCCCCCAACATATAAACCATAGAGATTTGGGGCATTCCCCAGGTATCTGAAGGAGTGAGCAGTGACTCATAAAAGCTTATACTGTACCACAAATTTTGTTAGCCTTTAAGGTGCTACTGGACTCTTACTCTTTTTTACTGCTACAGACAGACTAACATGGCTACCTATCCTGATCTATCAATATGTAACGAGTAACTGTGACTATCCTACCAACATATTTCATGCTGCAATCTCAGTAATTACTAATGCACTGTCTCAGGAAATAACATGATTTTACCTAACACTATATTTGATTAGAAAAAAGTTTGAGTCCAGTGGCACATTTAAGACCAACAAAGTTTTATTCAAGGTATAACATTTCATGTGCAACCGCACTTCTTCAGAGAAACAGAATTTCTTCAACCAACAGAGGAGGGGGGTTAGTTGCCAGAAAGGGCCAATTAGAGTCAAGACAGAGACAGAAACAAAATTTCTATATTTGACTAGAATATTGAGAAATTGAGGTATAACTGAAGAGAAAGTAAAACCCTGCAGAAAACTGTCAGCTGTGCACTCAAAATGAATGTGCACATAAGCTTTCATGAGTCACTGCTTACTTCTTCAGATACCTGGGGTTGTGTATGTGTGACATGTTCACAGTGACGTCTTGTGGCCAGAACTTGAAAAATAAAACTGACTTCTGGTTTTGGTGACTTGCTGTGCGGGTGTGCTCCATCACAGCTCTAATGTGAGCGCCCTGCAAACATGCCAGTGGGGGGGGGGTGTCCAAGTTGATCTTGGACCCCCCAGACCTCTTGTAGGGGGGTCTCAGCCTGGGGCGCAAGAGGTGCCTCTCCCAAGACGGAAGCCAAAGGATTGAGGTACTTTTTTGCCCCGATAGGCCCCCACGGCATGGAGCCAGCATGGCACCAAGAGGCACACACCGAACAGAGCATATAAGGATCCCAAGAAACAATCCTCTCTACATACCTAGTGAATGCAAGTACAAATGTGAGTGAAGCTATGATCCAGCAACCAATCGATACATCGTTACTAGAAAGCTCCAAACAAGCGGAAGGGGGAGGGGAATGCCCGATCTCAAAATGACTGAGTTTAAAGTGGGAGGCTGAAAGGGCAGCTCGAAGGAAGCAGATTGTGATGAAGTGTGTGGTGGATCAGTAAGAATGTGATAAATTCCAGACTTACGGAGAACTTTTAAACTTTCCTCTTGTATAAACAATGATGCAGCAGGAGAAAAAATGGCGTTGAAATCGAAACTTAAAATACGAACTGCCAGCACAGCATCGACGGTCACTAGACTGGAAGTAACCACAGACTTTCCCAAACTGACTGCTGTAGCTTTGCGCCCTCTACTGGACCAGATGACCAACCTTAACGTCAAGCAGGAGATGATGCAAAAGTAACTCAAAGAAATTTCAGTGAGAAAGAAATAAAGTGGATGTTCCTGAAACAACAACAGAAAGCAGAAGATGGACCTGAGAAAGTGGAGGCGAACAAAGACACAGAAGATGAAGAATTAGAGAAAGATGGGGAAGGCTGCGATACCATCTCGAAGAGTCTGGCAAATTCTTTAAATCTGAAGCGGAACTAAAAATTAATTTGGACTTTGATAAGAGGAAAGGAAATTGCAAATTAGCTTAACTCCGATAGCCTGTAGTCTATTTTATCACATCAATTCTATGATATTTACACTTTAGCTAAAGAGATTGTGATTGCTTGCTTGACATGTTTGCATTAGTAATCTTCATGCTCTACTACTACGTTAACAGAGACGTATCAATAACTTTATATGTCTGTATTACGATCCTTGTTACTCTTATTTTAGGTTTTTCCATTACCCTGACCCTGTAGGTTTGTAGATTAGAAAATAAAAAAAATTTAAGACAAAAAAATTACAAAAAATAAATAAAACTGAAGTCCATTTAGTTTAAATAGACATGTTTGCATGTGCCATAAACATGCAAGAGATGAGAGTCGTCATATGCACCATGCTTATATCATCATATGCTCCTGATCTGGAACAGCAACTTATTTATAGTTTCACACCCTGTTTGTGTCTTACACTTAACACAACTGGCCCAAGGTCCCTACCCCACGTGTCACTTACTCCAAGACAGTGAATGGCTGTAGGAGTGCAGTTGCCCAGTGATGTGTGCTTGTTACAAATCCCAAACTCTATTGGGAAACTGTCTTACTCCCCAAATCTCCTTAGTTTTGGGGTTCCTTGGTGGAATCTGCCACCACTCAAATTGCGCCTAATTCTTTGTGCACCAGACTCCTACCAGTGCCTTTATGTCATCAGTAAGGTAAGATGAGCATGCATAAGTGTATTGAAACAGCTAGGTGGCTGGACAAAGGTTTGGTGCAGTTAAAACATCTTTTAATAAAAAGGTTTTTATTAACTCGCATACATACTATAGAAAAGTCTAGCACAAATGAGATGAGAAAGAATAGCTAATTAGCCTACACTTAAGTGCAATGTTACATTGGCATTCTATCCTCTTCCAGTAATTGGTACGAAGTGGCAGGAATGTAGCCGGATGCTCTCTTTTGCCCCTCTCTCTTTTTTGGTGCTTTTTCATCAAATGAATGGACTGTTTTAAACCCTCTCCTCCCAGATAGGAGCGTCTGTGCAGGACCAATCCTTACTTTGGATGGATGGCTGTCTAACTCCCACCCAATCTGTGTTACCCTATCCCACAATATTTTGTACAACCAATTTTTAGGACTCTCAGCTGGCCATATTAAAGTCTATCCATCTTGCCACTCCAGGATGGAATGCAAGCTTCTTCCGTTTTTACACATCCATCTTCATATGCATAACTACTTCCCTGCTTGAGTGTAATGGTGGCAGTTTTGGTAAGCACCTGCAAAAATGCAGAATACATTAATTCTTGCACTTCTGTAGTCTAGATGGGACTATAAAGATATTTCCCCTTTTTTGATTATTCATATTTCTCTGGAAACATGGTATCCCTGTTCACCTAAAAAATTCAAAAGAGACACTGTGGCTTCCTGAACTCTTCTTTTGTCACGTCCTGAGATCAAGAGATCATCAATAAATTGGAGTAAAGCCACATCATCAGTAATAGTCCATTTCTGAAGAGATTTGGCCAAACATTTACTAAAAATTGTTGGACTGTCCACAAAACCCTGAGGCAAAATCCGCCAACGAAAATGAGTCTTTTCCCCTGTAATTGGGTTTTTCCACTCAAAAGCAAAAAGGTCTCTAGATGGTGCCAGAAGAATACTATAGAATGAATCTTTAAGGTCCAAAACAGTGAACCATTTATGATCCCCTGGAATTGTTGACAAGATTGTATATGGATTTGGAACTATAGGATGTGCATGTTGAACTGCCTGGTTCAATTTCCTCAAATCCTGGCACAAACGCCATTTAGTATGAGCTTCATTTTTGGGTACAGCCAGAATAGGAGTATTATAGGGAGAGGTGCATGTCTCTAGCTTTCCCTCCCTCACCAGGCGCTCTATAATAGGCTTTAATCCCAACCTCCCTTCTGCAGAAAGTGGATATAGTCGCACCCTGATTGGAGCCACTCCTGGCTTCAATTTTACATGAACTGGAGGTGCCCCCAAGGCAAGAGCAGGAGTGCCCTCTTCAGCCCAAACCCTGGGATCAACCCCATAAATGAAATCCCCATGGGAAGAACACTGTTCTTGTTTATTCTGTGTAGCCAGAAGGGCAGCCAAGTAGTGAGGACCTGATTGCAGAGGAAGATGCAAAGTAACCCCATGCTCATTAAAACTTAACACTGCACTTAATTTACAAAGCAAGTCCCTACCTAACAAAGCAACAGGACAGTCAGGGGTTAAAAAAATGAACAAGACAAGGTATTATCCTCTAAAGTCACATCACACTCCTGCAAAAAATACTCTACAGTAGGATTTCCATCTATTCCTACAATCTGAGTAGCTTGAGAAGAAACAGCAATTCCAGAAGGGGGAGCAGACAAAGAAGAAAAAGTGGCTCCTGAGTCCAACAGAGCATCATATTCACTATCCCCCATCTTTATCTTTATCAAGGGTTCGGCAAGTGGGGAGCCTTGCCCCTGACACCCCTATGCATCCTCTTGCCCCCTCATTTGAAATTGAGGAATGCGAGAGGCTGGAAACTGCTGTGACTGCTGAGACCTTTGGAAACTGCTGTGGAACATTCCCAGGTCTCCCCCCCTTCCTTCCCCTCCCTTCTTCTCTGTCAATGCCTGAGCTAACATAGCAGTTTGGGCCATCAACAGTTTCTTAGAATCAGCTGCTGCTTTCTTCTCCTTTTCCTGATCACGATTAATATACACCCTGTAAGTGGCTTCAACCAGGTCTGAGGAGGATTTTGAACCCCAATCCTCCATTTTCTGCAACTTTCTCCTAATATCCCGTGCTGAATTCCCAACAAACATAGCATTCAAAGTTTTCCTATTTACCTCCAATTTGGGGTCCATGTTCCCCCACCTCCGAAAACCTTCCATTAAATGCCCCCTAAATGAAGATGGGTTTTCATCCTTCCCCTGTTTTATTTCCCAAACCTTATTTAAATTGGTCATCTTTGGAACCTCCAGTTCAACCCTTTTGCAGTATAGGCTCTATAAACAGCAAATTTCTCCCTCCCCTCTACTGTACCATGACTCCAAGTAGTAGGGTTAGAAGTAGGAATTATAGTGCTGATATCTGCAGCCCCAGAATTACCTTTTGCTCTCTCATCAAGCTCATCTTATCTAAAACCAACCGTTTCTCCTCAGGAGAAAGAATCTGATTCAAAATCTGCTGGACATCCAACCATGTGGGCTGATACATGTTACAGAGATCCTCGAATTCCTGGGACACTCTCTCGGGGTTCTCTCTGTATTTTGGCAAACCCCATTTCTATGACAACAAATCAGTATTAGAGAGAGGGCAGTATACAAATCCAGTTTGGGCAGTAGGCATCATAATTTCTCTCAGGGGCATCACAGAATGAGCAAACTTAGCAAACTGTGCCTCTAATTGACCCTCATCAGGAGAAGAAGTCAAAGGGACAGGATTACTAGTGTTACAACCTAAGGTCAGAGTCTTTGGTTTCACATCAGGTGCAACAAAAGACTCCTGCATCTGTATATCTGCCTTAGTAGGATTATTTGAGAAAGTAACCACTGACTTCCTCGGTTCCCTGTCCCCCCCAGGAGTTACGGCTTCAACCTTAACAATATCAAGGGGGAAGGCTGTGAAGAAAGACTACGAAGAAAAGAAGAAGGTTAATCAGATAAAATTTCAAATTCATCTTTTCCTATCTGCTGCACTCCAGAAGATCTCTTCCCTGTCCCCTTTAAAGCTCCAAATGTTAAAAACCACAACCAGAAACCCTTCAGGTGTCACACCCCTGCCCCCAAATTAGGGAGACTGACAAAGGATTTACAGATCCACCCAAAAAGGTACCTTTTGCCGGCTGACAGAAGTTGGTTCCTCATCACTGGACTTCAGGGATCCGTCCACTGATGCCCAAAACAGCCACGTCCACGAGCAGGCCTGAGGCCAAAGGATAGCTGAAAAACAGCCAGGTGCACCTTCCTTAAAGCATCTGCCCCCCACCCCCGCTTCCAGCAGCAAAAATCCGGAGCACCAGCGGCAGGTCCCTGTTCGGGCACCAAATGGGTTTCTGCCTCTTTTGTAAAGGTAACATATATCGAGGAACCTCTATGTGATGCTATAAATAAGGGCCGGTATCACATTATTACAGTGGTAATAGCAGCACAGTTAATGGTCTCTCTTTACTTTCATATGAAACAGCATTGAGCCCAGCTTATTCCTTAGTGCACCCCCCCCCCACACACACCATTTCTCTACAGTCAGCTCATTTTAGCAGGATCAAGCCTTAATGTTTTATATTTCTTTCCAGGTTTCAACTCTCTGGTAGGAGGAATAATGGGATTCTCCATCCTACTAAGTGCAGAGGTTTTTAAACATAATGCCTCTGTTTGGTACCTGGATGGAAGTATAGGAGTTTTAATTGGACTTACAATATTTGCCTATGGAGCCAAGTGAGTAGAATCGTTCCTTTTGTTTTACTTTGCGTTAATGTGTTCGCATGCAGAACAATTACAGTCAGTGTGTTTTTTCTCATATCTGACGAGGTGCAGAGTAGGCTGCATTCATGGACTCTAAAGCATTTCACATAACTGCCTATTCTACATACATCTGATCATTACTTACCTTTTACTTCTCTACCTCAAGCCCTACAGTATTTTATCACTTGGGAGTGATAACTGTGGGGGTCAGGCTGTTTGTACAACAAAGCAATGTTAAACAAATAGACACGTGAAATACTTTCCCCTTTACTTTCAGTGAATTCTTGCCCCCTTTTTTAGGTGGAGCACACTATCCACTACAAACTGAATCATGGATTCCATTTATGTTCAAATGTGAGCCCAGGAATGTCCTGGAAAATAACCATATGATTGTTGGCTCATGAAGACTAGAGGGAAACTATTCACTGGGTTTAAAATTGTAATGTTTTGACTGTGACGTGTAAGCTGCCTTGAGCCACAAGGAGGAATATAACTAACTAAATAAAATCTTGCCAGTTCTAGAAAAACTACAGTTTGTTTTGTGAGCACAATTCAGAATGTTACTTTTTAAAAAAGACCTAAATGGACTGGAAAGGGGTACCTAAAAGAATATAGGCTCTCATAATGAACCTGCTGAGCACTTGACCACTGCATGTATTTGATTAGTGCAAAGTATTTTAATTTTCAGATGCCAGCTAAACATTTGGGGTTGAATCCAGTGGAAGGTTTCTGTGTGTGGTGTGTGTGAGAGATCTCCCTCGATTCCCTGCTTTTGGTACAGATCTCTGACTGAACCCACGTGCTGTTCCTGGGGGGGTGGGGCTGTCCTTCGGGAGGATCATTTTGGGGAACATTGGAAGCTGCAGTGGGAGGGGTGAGGTAAGAAACTTGTTTTTCTGACAAATTCCTTCTGTCAGAGGAAATTTCTTGTGGATTCAAACCATTTTCCTCAGGAACTTATTGACTGGTAATTTGGATGTTATTCATTCTGGTTATATACTACTACATTGTAATGTCTGGTTTTATTTTGTACTATTATGGCATTTTTTTTGTCTTTATTTTTCTTCTAGGACTGTTCTGTCAACTTTATGCCATGGCATTTCTTAGATTTGATATTCTGCTGCTGATTTATCCTGTCTAGTTTTACTTTTTAAAATGTTTTTATTATTTTAAATAAGTGGCTTCAAGAACATTGGCTAAGAGTGCAAGATAAAAATGCTTTAAATTAATAAAGGCTATTTGAAATCTGAAATTACTTCCATGGAGGTAAAAGATGTATTATATAACCAGGTATTCATAGCACCTGGTAAGATCCACTGGGGAGGAAGTGAGATAATAAAATGAGAACATAAAGCAGATCTCCTTTAACAGCTTCCAGAATTACTGTATACGACTGTTTGTCTTTTGAAACTATCAGTCTTGATAATTTTTTTGCTTTTATTTCCAGGCTACTTATTGACATGGTTCCCCGTGTACGGCAAACACGTCATTATGAAATGTTTGAATAGAGACAGTGCTATGTGAATTGGACAAGGACTGCAGAAAGTGACAACATCCAACAACTTGGCAAGTGGTGCCAATGATATTTCACAGAACATGCACTGTCTCCCATAGTATCTTTTCTTTTAACGTTATCTGTTCAAGGGGAATTCTGTACATAAATAGGGCAATATGTGCGCCGCTTAGATTTCAGCAAAAGCAGGAACAGCATTTTCCTGTGTTATTAAAATCCTGCAACTGGCAATGGAAATGAACGAAGTTTGCAGTTCTAATCCAGCTGCTGTGGCTTGTCTTCTGGAGTGATGAGGGACACTCAATAGATAACTGTAGACAAGGGCCAACATCAAAAAAGGGATAGCCACTTGTCTGTATTCTCTTGCAACGAACCTTAAAGACTATGAAATTTATAGTGGCATGAGCTTCTATAGGCAAGAATCTAAATTCCATCAGAATACAGACTGGAGATGGCTGCCACCAGTGTTCCTCAGTGTGGAAGCAACTGAGACATTGTCATCTTGTATACAGAACTTAGGGGTATATCAAACTTAGATTATGGATTCCAACAGACGCCACTTGATGCATGGAATTATTTTTTTCTTTCTATATGAAATAGAACTCCAATCTCAAAACCAACACCACCAGAATCCATCAAGCTGCTGAATCTTCAAAGGTCGTTACAAGAACTTGATTCTAATTTCATATACTGTTTTATAAATGTCTCTGAAGTCCATAGGTTTAGGATTTCAAACAACACATGTGCCATGTTATACTGCACAGACAAAAATAAGCACACTGTATTAAAATATAAGCAAAAGCCAAAAAATTAAGAAGAGTAAAGTAAGAATTTGTGTTTTTGGTTGTATTATACACATATATAGATGTATGGCTAAATACATGTTGTCTGGTCAAGCAAAACAGTGATGGTTTCATGCAGCTAGCACCTCAGAGCTGTTACAGCTAGTAGTATTGTGTAAATATTCATATTCCTATCCCATCATCCTATGTAATTTAACATCTGGGTCACAATATCCAGGTATCATCATGTTCAACCAATAAAACAATGACCTATTTTGTATTTGTATTTAACCTTGGCAAAAGCTGTCAAAATGAGTAGGGCATGTCTTCCTGCACAGAAGCCTGTTGAAATCCGGGGTGGACAGCTCAGGCTGTTAACTGTACCAGAATGGTGCTTGATTGTAGCTAGGTGGGCCACATCAGGTCTTGCCCTCATAAACTTCTAGTTGTGATTACAACTACCTACAACTGCTTTGGGTAAAAAAACCTGCATGTAATCTGTCACTAAGCTGCCATCCCTGAAATGTAGTTCTGTGTAGCCAACCACCTGTGAACTTTGCAAAGTGGGGATTTTACCACTTCCTCCTCCTGCTATAGCCCATAGTGGCCTCTGAAATATTTTTGCTGGAGGCCAGTGGAACCTCAGGAACACCATACAGTGTAAAGAGGGAGTCTGTAGTAGAATATGGATTAATGCTGCAGGCATTTTGTTGGGGGAGGGGTTTTTGTAGTACTTCATATGATGTAGATTTGTAAGCTGCCTGAAAAGAAGAGTATAAATATTGCAATAATTTATTTTGCTGCCCCTGTTCTGCAAATGGAATTACTGTTCTAGCAGAGGAACTTTGTTGTTGTATATATGCCAGTAGCTAAGCATTTAGTGGTATTATTTAATGGTGCTTACTCCTAGGTAAGCATAGGATCAAATGCAAAGAGCATTTGAAGTAGGGATGGGCATGGACCAAAAAATGGTGGTTCGGGGTCTGTGATGGCCCACGGACAGAACTGGTCCAGCAAGTTCGGGATGCAGCAGAATGGCGGGGGGGGGATCGCCCAGGAAGAGGCTTCTCTTCCCCTTTCTCCCGGCTGTGGTAAGCTGCAGCTGAGAGAAAGAGAGGGGGGATTGCCAAGGAAGGGGCGTTATTAAACCCTCTGGTTTTGCTCCCCATTCAAAGCAGCAGGGAGCGAAACTGAAGGTTTAAATGGCTGGTGGCTGCAGACCTCACTGCTCAGCTGTTGGGTTTAAATGGCTGGCACCCATTTAACTCTTTGGTTTTGCTCCCCACTGCTTCAAGGTGGGGAGTAAAACCAGAGGGTTAAATATAGGGGTGAAGTGCCTCCCAGGGGCATTTCATTCCCTCCTTTCTGCTGACCCAGCTATCTCTGGCTCTCTCCTGCAGCCCGTTTAGAGGCATGAGAGAGCCCCAGACAGCTGAGTCCATTGAGACTGAACAGCTCCCAAGGGCTGAACTGAATAGGTTGAAGTTTGGTAAATGTTCAGGGAGCACATCTTCCCCAAACATCACTTCCTTAGCCCCGAACCAGTCCAAGTTTGGTCCGAATTTTGGCTCGTGAACTGGTCCCTGCCCATCCCTAATCTGGAGTGCTTGAGAAAGGGATATGAAGACTGTTTTGCAGGGGGAGTGTGCTGCAGGAATCAGGGAGCTGGGACTTTGGAAGGGTGGGACTGCTCTCACTAGTACAGGAGCTTGTGTTGCATATACTCTGGGTGGTGCTTGGACATGGAGTATAGCCATCACTTGGCTTGTTCCATCCTCCTATCTGGGATCCTCTGCATCCCCCAGGGATTAGGGGGAAAACAGCCAGGTGGTCGCAGCAGCAGTAAAGGCTCCTCCAAGCCTTGAATCTTAGCTGTTGCCACCACTGCAGTTTCTCCATGCTTGCTTCCTGCATGCAATCTAAGAGAGAGCAAAGATACTGAGGCAGAGATGTTGTGGTAACCATACTACCTTGGCTAATGGGAGACGTCCTCTCAGAACTCCCATTGTAGTTGGCTAGTATGCTACAGCAAACCACAACACTGTGGTCTCATCTGGGAGATGCTCATCTTGTCCAACAAGAATAGCAGTGTTGTAGGCGAGTCCAAGGTACTGTGACTGCCTTACAACTCCCAGTATCTTGGCTGGCTCCAGTGGGAGCCCTGGATGTCTGGCAGGAGTAAAGCTTCTGCTAGACATTTGGGCCTCCCATTGGAGGTGACTGAGATGCTGGTGCTGTTAAGAGCAACAGCAATGGCTTGCCCTTGTCAGGGAGGGGGCAGATTAAGATTGTCAGCTGGGGCTATGGCATGCCAATGTTGTGAATTTATGAAATAATGTTGTTTGGTTACCATTTCCAGAGATAAAACCTTTCAATGGGATTTCAGTCTCTGGTTATAGGTTTCTTAGTGCTTAGTCTTTTAAAAGTATGTAATAAATACATCTCCTCAAGGTAGTTTCAGTGTTTTGGTGAAACTCTTATTTTCAGAAAATTCAAAGCAGTACTGGCTGCCAAGGAAGCCCTGCTGCCTAAAACATGTGGGTAATTATAGAACTGAAATGCATATCAATATGCCCCTTTGGCTCCAAAGTCACACCACTTATTATCCTGAAGACAGGAGCAGTGTTGGACAATCTCCCTGCCCAGCTTATTGGAAATGGAGCTTTGAGGCAGAATGTGTGTGGCAGTGCATGCTTACCTCTTGGCCAGTGGTCTGACTCCATTGCCAGGATTGGCCAAGAACAAAGTCATACACAAGGGCAGTTCTAGGGGTAATTTTTATACTTTCATTTTGTAAAATAAGGGGGGACGGATCCTGAGCTGCTCTCATCTTCATTTTCAAAGTTTGTCATTGAGTTGAAATAGTAATTTGCACAAGGCAAGTCACTTGTTTCACATTGCATTATACCTTGCCACTTCAGATGAGTCATCAAGTGACAGCATGTGTATTTTTCATATCACACCATATCTTGTTACGAGTCTTGTTTTTCTTTTTAAAAGCCTTATGTATTAAATGCCCTTGGCATTATCCAATCCTGCATGGTCATAGCATGCACTTTATTTCATATAGTAGTTAGGGGTGTGCGTTTGGCATAAACCGAGCTGAAAAAATATCCCAAAAATACCTTACTGGCATTTTTTGGGGGGGATATTTTTTAAGCTGGTTACTGAATGGGGCCCAATTTCAGCTATTCAAAATGGCCAAGCCCCCAAAATCCTGAAAATATTCAGGATTTTCCAGGCTGCTGGATAGCTGAACTTAAAGGTCATTTAAAGCTGTTACTTTGTAGTGAGTTCACCTGGAAGATGTTTAAAGGGCTCATAGTCCCTTTAAATGCCTTCCTGCTGCGCTCTTGCTGAACTCGCTGCTTGGAGGTGTTTAAAAGGACTGTGAGCCGTTTAAATGCCTTTGGACTTTCGTGGCTTGCAGAAAGCATTTAAAAGGACTGCAATCCCTTTAAACATGTTTTCCCCTTCTTTGAAAGCAATGGAGGATGGGGGCACCTTCTTTGGGGACCCACAGAATTGGACACCTTGATTCAATCTTCTTTAAATTTGGGGGGGGGGTTGAGGAGAGGCATTAGAAGCTATGCTGCAAATTTGATGCCCCAGATACCTTTGGATTGACTCTCCATTATAGCCTATGGGAACCATTGACTCTAATGGTTCCCATAAGGTATAATGGAGCAAAAAACAAAACAAAAATGGCTTTCCTGAATTACAGGTATTGGGATTTGGGAAATACCAATACCTAATACCATCATCAATTATTTCACATGTCACGGTTAACAGGGGGTCAGTATTGATATATGGATTATAGACACTGCATTTGTTGTTCCTACATAGATTCATGAAGTTGTAATTCACTCTTCCACCTTTATGTTTCAGGGATGCAAAGCTCAGGGTGTGAAACTACCATCCATCAAGCACTTCAGTAGTTGCCAAACAATTCAACCAGCTGGTATATGTGCAGAGACGCTAATGTAAACTCATATTTAAGTTCTTACATATATTGCTTGCGCATAGATTTGCTGCCCTTTGTGCCCAGAGGCACACTCATTACTTCCTTGTGCTGTGATCCTATGGGGCATGTAAATATTCCATCCACATGGGTGAGGCTAATGTTTTTTTATACCACAAGAATAATGTTGTATTGGTCTATCTGGTAAATCCCTCAAAAAGAGACACTTGACAGTGGAGAGACTTTTTCAATCAAAAACAAATTGATTTGTGGTCCTTTTGCTGTAAAACTTTATTTAAGTCTAAGTAAAAA